GAATACAAAGAGATCGGCACGCTTGCTCTGAAGACACTGCTCCCGTTCCCAACGTCATATCTGTGCGAGGCAGGTTTTTCTGCCATGACGGCCACTAAGACCAGACTTAGAAGCAGACTGGACGTGAGGAATACCCTGCGCATTTCATTGTCAACCATCACGCCCCGGTATGACGTTATTATGGCTAGCAAACAAGCCCAGGGGTCTCACTGACATTTCAGTTATATCAGTGGTCCTAATTTGTTTTAATTGTATCCTGGTTTTAAACTTTGTTAATATGTTTTGGATGCATATTGTTCTATTATTTGTTCAGGCTGTTACATACAATTAGCCACTGTTGCCACCTAGGCCTATATTAGGCTATATTATATTATATATTATATTAATATTTGTAAAGCGGTCCTTATTTTTTGTTTTAATTGTATCCTGGTTTTAAACGTTAATATGTTTTGGATGCATATTGGTATTTGTTCAGGCTGTTAAATACAATTAGCCTCTGTTGCCACCTGCTGGTGAGTAAATATTAAAATCAGTTAAAATTGACAACCGATCGCGATTTTTTTTTAATGTATCTGCCGGTCCTTGGCACAATAAAGGTTGGGAACCCCTGATCTACGGGACAGTTTTGAGATTTCTTCAAATACCGTTGCCATGGCAACACAATGCTCACCATGAAACACGGTTTTCTCATAACTTCAGTGAAAATGCTCGAAATGGCCCAAAACTTCACAGGTTTGGTAACGATGCAGCCATCAACACATCTAAGCGTATTATGGGGTGTCATCAAATGCCATTGCCATGGCGACAGATAATTCACCATCAAGTTAGTTCAAAAGTTTGTAGTTCAAATATTCTGCTGCTTTCCCAAGCCTTTTTACTTTCTTTTCTCATCTTAATACAAATTCATTCACTACTACTTACATCTGATATTTAACTCCTTCAGCCTATTTTCAGCTAAATTCAGCCACAAATGTTCACAGTTTACAGCATTCGCACGCATTTTCTGCAGGAAATGCATTTTCTAGTGCTCGCTGTGTCTCATGTTTGCCAAGCCTCCCGGTGACAATGCATTTGATAAAGGAGGCATGCAGGCATGGAAGCATGTTCACCAAAGAATGGAAGAGCATGAAAGAAGCGGGTTGCATCGAGATAGTGCAGATGCATGTTTCCTGAGAGCAAGCAGAGCTGATATCAGTAGCCTATACTCAAAGTGCACCAGATTGATGCATTTAACTCCAAAATAAAAAAACAAATCTTCCCGGGGGAGCATGCCCCCGGACCCCCCTATAGGATTTGAGGTCCACCCCCAAATAAAACATGTCCACATGGATAGGTTCCCAAATACATATGCACACTTTTTTTAACAATATCCTATGTCCATATGTTTCTATTTGGGTAGTAGATTTAAACTGTAGGGCTATCACTACGGGCAGCAACGTTGTAAATATTGATGATACATCCAGCAAAATGCCCCCAAAAAAAATTGGTAGTGGCCTGGCTGGGTGTATAATTCCCGGGCCTGACCTATGGTCCCAGTCCGGCCCTGCTGACACATCACACACCCGTACAATACACACATTACTGATTAACTGATATCACAATTGAGTTACTTTCTTTAAATAAATATACTGTAATTGGAAAATAATCATGTGTGGTGTCCTTGTTTTGTCTGTCCTTGAGCCAGGGCTCCTTATTGTTGTATGTAGGTTATTCTTGGTTTTAGAATGAATTCAGTAATGGTGTGTGTGTAACACAAACATAATAAATCATTGGATAGTGTTTCTATATAATAGAAATAAAGTAATGTATTAAGACTCTGCGAGTTATTACTTTCTTCCTTTACTTGGCATTCTTCAAAAATACACAGACATTGCAGCACATCGTTTCACGTCTTTGTACAGCCTTTCTCAGCAGTAGAGTACAATGTGTTGGCGAACCTTTGTTTCCTCCTGACAGCTCACTAAAAGGTATACTCAATTCAATTCAATAGCTTTATTAGCATGACCTCAGTTACATATAGTATTGCCAAAGCTCTGTATAGTTGCAACATCTATACAAAATATATATATATATATATATATATATACAATATATATATACTCCCTCTTGTGGCCAAAGGGGGACACAACTCTTGTCTTCAGATGTATGCTTGAGTGCAGGAAAATGTAGTGACTACAGTGCAGTGACGTGCGGTGAGGTTCATGGCTGGTGAGGCACTGACTCTTTCAGAGTCAGATTTACAAATATTATATTTTGACCTTAATCGAAATATTCTGTTATTTTCAAAAGCTTTTTTAGTCTGATGCTATGATTAATTTTAAACAGACCGTTCAACAAAAGGATACCCAAAATCTAAATATTGGATTGTTTTTTCTTAGTAAGATCCCATTTTCATTACAATTGTGGTCTTACCTTGACTTGAAGATGAAGTCCATGCTATCCTTCTGGACAACAATCTCTATTACTGTTTTGTAAAAGTCCTCCTTATCTTCCTCTAGTTTCAAAAGTCTAGTTTGTTGTTTGCGTCTACCGTCTCTGCGTAGAATAACAGTAGCAACAAGAACCTGTGGGCTCACGTGCGCCCCCTTCAGTGCGGCAGAGGTTATGGCTGCCTCCCCTGGTGCTTTCTCATGGCCGTTGTACGATGAGACCAGCGAGCCTAAATATCATATATACGTGAAATAAGTTATTTAGAGACTATGGATGGCGAGGATAAATGTAATAAAGGGATCTACAAACATTACATTGGTGACCTACAGTGAGATGATAACAGGCATGCGCTTAGGGCCCGCTTTCCAGCCAGTTTCTGTGGGGTGACGCATTCTGAGGTGAGGTAGAGCTCATCTGTGCCTCACCTCACCCCACAGTAACTGGCTGGAGCGCGCTCACAAAATAAGTGCCCGCGCTAAATTAGTGCCCGTGCTCCAGGAAGTTACTGTGGGCTTACGTGAGGCAGAGCTCGTCCCTGCCTCACTTCTCATCGCTCCCGTAGCGGAGCTCGGCAAATTTGCTGATTTTGACTATAAAAAGCGATTGGAATCACACAGAAATCACATTTACACAAGATCAGTGGAGACATTTTATTATTATTATTATTTAGTTTTTCTTTAATTGTTTTTCCGTTACATTGGAGTATGACAGGTGAGGCTCTGCCTCCCCTGCCTCCCCTGACTGCACGTCGCTGCTACAGTGACTATTTTGTCAACTAAACATCATAAAACAATACATATTTTAGTAAACGGGACATTATAATCTCCGCACATTAACTCTATATTTGCCTCTGCCATGGTGCCAAAATGAAACAAAATAAAATAAACAATATATAGGGGTTGCTTCTTCTCTGAACTTCTAAGTATACTGCATCCCTCCATATCAAATAAACCATAAACAAATACATAAAGTTGTGTTCACTGCAGCGATCTATTTCACACACAAAACGATATGAAAACTTGGTGATATACAGTGGCGTTTTCTCCTGGAGACCAAGGGACAGTGGCGACTGGTCATTAGGGGCAGGTGGGGCACAGCCCCACCTAGTGTCAGAAGAAAGTATTACAAATAATGATTACAAAAATGCAAAAAAAAAAATAAAAAAATATATAAAATATATTTTAAGATCATGTTTAATCATCTGATTCGTCTGTACATTGCTGTTTTAGTCTGTGTTCTTCTAATTAGTGTGTCTACAGTCACAGTGTGTGCCTATTGAGCTGTTTAGAGCCATGTGGGACAAAACCTGATTATGCCCCTTCCTCTCGCTGTGAAGTGAACGATGACTGTAAAAACTACACTGCGCATGCTCAGAGTATTTTGTAATGTAATGTGTGTGGCAAAAAGATAATGACCAGAGGGGCACGGAGCTACCATCCCCACCATACGTCATCTCAAATCATTCAGAGCTGATTGGCTGTAAGTACGTGTGCCGCGAAAAGTGTGGTGTGTGAAGAGGAGACGAGAGAGGTGCAGTGGCGCGTCCTAAAACCAGGAAGTAAGCACAAAAAAGCAATGAGATTTCTCCAGAGGATTTTAGAAAATAGCTCGAAATAAGATCTGTGGGAAACGTACCTGTTAGATAAATGCACGTTTTGATTAGCCGGATAATATCCACATGTCTACCCTACTTTTATAATTTTTTTATCATAAATCTATGGATTAGATTTATGATAGACTTTTGAAACTACAAGAAGATAAGGAGGACTTTTACAAAAAAGTAATAGAAATGTTTGTCCAGAAGGATAGGCAAATGGACTTCATCTTCAAGTCAAGGTAAGACCGCAATTTTATTGAAAATGGGATCTTACTAAGAGAGAACAATTCAATATTTAAATGATAAAATTACATTTTTTGGGTATCCTTTTGTTGAACTGTCTGTTTAAAATTAATCGAAGCATCAGACAAAAAAAGCTTTTGAAAATAATATTATATTTTGGTTTAGGTCAAAATATAATATTTGTAAACCTGAAGAGTCAGTGCCAGTGCCTCACCAGCCATGAACCTCACTGCACATCACTGCAGAAGCTTATATATAGACATCTAATTTTTTTGTGCCCCACCACTTTTGTACATATAAAAACGCCACTGCCAAGGGAAGACAGGCTTCTCCTGTTTTTTCAGACTTTGTTATCATTTTGATAATTAAAAATATATATTCTTGTCTGTGGTTGTTTTTGCGTTCAGGGCATACAAGAGGTGTAACATTATTTTAATACCAAAACTATATTGAAATAGAGTCTAGCTTGAACAGCAACTACGTAGCTCTAACATTACTGGGTTATTTGGTGATAACTACCAAAGTAAAGTAACTTCAGACGTCACGTAGCTTCTCAGACAAGAGGGGTGGCGACGAGAGTGTCACGTTACTTCTCTCGCGGCATAGTTCATGGCATGGTAGGCGACGATCGACACGATTGGCTGCTCAGTTAGTTCAGTCTTTGGCATTAATCACACCTCATACATATCACAGCTCATACCTGTTCTGTCTTAGCATCAGCATGTCTCACCTCCTCCGCCTCCCCCCGCTGTAACCCCCGAGCAGCCAGTCCAGTCTTCAGCTCACTGATGTCCACTCTGCCGTCTTTATTGAGGTCCAGCTGGCTGAACAGCTCCGCATACCTCCCCTCTCTGCCCGGGTCCAAAGGCTCTCCGGCTCCGGTCTCTCCCGGTTCTTTGTTTCCTCCGTGGCGAGTCTGGCCGCTGAACCCCTCTTTGTCTTCGCCCATGTGAAATAAAGAGAGCCTGGTGTCTAGTGGTCAACTGCTACTATCTCAGCCGAGCTGGACACTGTGAGGACCGAGGACCCTCTGTAAAGCCCGCTCCCTTACACCGCAGCTAGCTGGGACAGCGAGGCAGAGGCTGTGCTGCTCCGCTGCCTCTGCGGAGGATCTCCCCCGGGCTGATGGATGGATGTTGTTACACGAGCCCTTGTTGGGATAATTCCCGTACCAATTACATACTCGGTCACACGCTCCAATACACATTCAGATAAACTAAAGTTTTCGTCTTAGCTGTCAATGAGCTCCGGGTTTACCGCAGTCTCTCAAACCAGCACGTTAAACGTGCGAAAACTAGCATTTAACTGTCCAAAGCACTTCCAAACAGACCTGAAGGGAACATGACTTAAATGACTTCACCTCCACACATTAATCCACCCACTCTCGGTGACGCTCGTGCCTCTGCATCACGTGCATGGCTCCTCAGCGCACACTCAGCAGAGACAGAGAATGAGAGGATTCCAGACGTTTCCTTTCTAGCAATGAGCCTAATTACTTTAGCTGTTAAAATACTCCTCAAGAGCAGTGTCCAAGTCTATTAATAACAATGTTAATAAGTTGCAAAGATGAATCGAAAGGGTTATTTTTATTAAGGAGCCTAGTATTTTTGTTATTATACATGTAACAACGCTCACACATTCAGTAATCTATAGTCTAATTCTTGTATTTTTATGATTAATTATAGATTTAACGTTTTCTCGAATAATAAATAAATCCTTAAAAAATGGCATGCAGTTACAATAAATAAATAATGTGATATTAGCACAATAACAGTTCCTTTCTGCTTAATGACTGCTTTTGTTTTGCTGGTCTACTTTAAGCAGTCTACATTTCGTAATAGCTTACTTCTGTATAAAATAAATGTTTTGATTAAAGGGGTATTGCTGCTTTAAAATGTTAAGTCAAGTAAAATATTCCATCTTCAGCTGCTTATATCCATGCCTGAATGAATCAGAGAATAACAAAAACAATAACAATAATAATAATAATAATCTTAAAGGATTTTCATCTTTGATACTTGATTTGTTTTCTGACGATACCTGTAATTATTTATAGGCCTACTTTTACAACATTTTGCAAGCTGGATCGTTACCTACAAAGGAGTATTTTTCATTAATATTTCGTATAGTACAGGCTGATAACAAAACTATAACTTAAGTGATAGATCTGAATACTTCATCAACCACTGGTATAATGTTAGAAGAAGGTCCTGTAGAATGATCACTGTCAGTAAAATGAACCCCTGACAGCTTATTGGCTATAAATAGCATTAATGATGAGGATTGTGAGCTGTGACGTGCAGCAGAGGACAGTAGGTGCCTGGTCAGCATTAGACAGAGAGAGAGAGAGAGAGAGAGAGAGAGAGAGAGAGAGAGAGAGAGAGATAGAGAGAGAGAGAGAGAGAGAGAGAGAGAGAGAGAGAGAGAGAGAGAGAGAGAGAGAGAGAGAGCGAGATAGCTAGCGAGAGAGAGAGATAGAGAGAGAGAGAGAGAGAGAGAGAGAGAAACTGTGAAGTAACACCTAACAACACACGTCACCAAGATGGCCGTCACTACTGTCTTGTCAACAAAACGATTGACTACCCTCACTATCACCACAATGAAACACGTCCAGAAGAATGTCATGTAAAGCTGCCTGCCTGCCTGCCTTCCTTTGATTCTCTCTGAACTGCCTGGTCTTTTTAATTTCAACAATTTGTGCAGATAGCATGAAGTAGAAAAGATCGCCGATGCTAGCGTTAGCGTTAGCATTTCTCCCCCGGGCTTAAATTGTGTATTATAGAATGATCACACCGGTGTGACAGTACTCTTCAAAGGGTTCACGAAATATGACTACTACTCTTACTGTTTAACATTTTGGGTTACTTAATGTTACTTCATGTTAAGGCTAATAAAAATGACAAGGCTGTAATGCTAACTAACGTGCTAGCTACTAGCTAGGTAGCTAACTTGATCCTTTCATCAGACGGGAAGCGAAAGAACGAGCAAGACCCATTGCTCGTATGATAACAACCTGGTACTAAGCACACAGGCATCTTGTTAAAGTTATCTTATCTTAGCCAGCGCCATATAGATAGATTCTATCTATATGGCGCTGATCTTAGCTATCTCTTAGTAGAGGAAAACAATTGTGACATCACTTACGTGACTCTGGGATTTGTAGTCTTTCTAGTTGCGTATTTTTCATAGTCTTATATTTCAACAGTTTTACGACAAACTGTGACTTTTTTGACATGGAAATGATTTTTTAAGATTGACAAACATCATATGTGTAATTCATGGCACAATTCAAACGGGATCGAAAGATAAGTTTTCTCTCTCCATTGACTTCAATACATTATTTTTCAGAAATAAGGTCCCATGGACCGGAAGTGGATGGGCGTGACATCGCCACTCTATACACTGAGCAAGGTAAAGAGACTCACTCTGCTGGTCCTGATGCTTCACTTCCTGACCCTAACACTGTTTTTACTCATGGCCAGTCTGACAACATATCAATCAACCAAGTTATAAAACACCGGAAACAAATACATCACTAACTGGAAGCACAAAAGCACAAAGCAAAATGTAGAGCTATCTGGCCCTAAAGAGACAGTGTAGCAGACCTGAGCCCAGTGACTGACATTACAGAACCACCCTGACCAAATCCAGTGTGGACAGCTTGGCCATCAAGTCTGGCCTGTTCAAATAATCATATCAATATTTCAATATATAATCAATATTTCCCACATTTTTAAAACAAACATCCTGAATTTGACCACATAAAGACATCCACAAAATATCAATCCTTTCAGGAGAGCACAGTCTGGCAGCAGAATATGTTTTTTAGAGGCCACAATCTGAGGAGCAGTGAACAACATTGACATTTAGAAAAGCCCTGGTCAAAGAGGGATGCACCGTACAACAAGTAATGCTATGCAGTGTTCAGGAAGTTACCAGACCACTGGAAAAGTGTTTAACTTTTTAAGATTATGAACAGATTGCCAAAAAAGTGGACGAGTGCAACAACCCTTTCACTAAACCAGTAGAAAATCCAACTAATACATAACACTAGAGCAGGGGTTTTCAAAGTGTGGGAAGGTGAGCCTCCCCTCAGAGAACATAAGAACAGCCGTGCCCCCCCTCCCAATTATTATTGCTATTATTATTATTATTATTATTGTTGTTGTTGCTATAATGCAGGAGTATTCAATTGCATTTCAAAGAGGTCCAGTAAGAGAAAATGTCATTAAATGTCATTAAATGCTCTGTTTTCGCTGTCTACCTTTCGCCATTTGAAATTACTCCGACTGTTTCTCTCCTCTTGTCTCGTCTCTGTGTGTGTGTTTGAATCTATCGTGCTGACTCACTGACTGCACCGATTTGATTGGCTGAGTAGCGTCCCCTCCTTAAAACATTAAACAATAACTTTTTTAAACCTTTGTATCTTTATGTTTTAAACATATTGTATAAAACTCCCCCACTACTTGGACTATTCCTTGCACCCCTCTAGAATAAGCCTGACTGGTCTCAACCATATTGCATCAGTAACGTACACTTGTTATAACAAGATCGCAAGGACACTAGTAGCGATCGGACAATTGAGTGTTGTTCAGTTTGTGTGTTGTGGAACATGCGTGTGCGTGCCTGAAAATATACCGCACACCCAATTACAATTGCATGTTCAATTCACTACCTTGGAAGTTAATAAAGTTGTTAAAGTTGGAACAGCCTGTGGACAGCCGTTCTTCCTTGCATGTCAGTCGCCGACACCTTCTTACAGAGAACAGGCAAATCTAGCTGCAGCACGACCCGTATATTTTCGCACGGTGTTCTCAACACATATTTTCTTTTAACATTTTTAACATTTTCAACATCGTGGATATATATATGCTTATATGCTCCCGGCAACACACTGAACGTCAACTTTGCCTCCTTATTACACTCACCCCTACTTTAGTGGGAACAATGAGTCTGCGTCTTTTGGCGCGTTTCCACTACACGGCCTCGCTCGGCCCCGCTCGGTATGGCTAGGCCTCGTTAGGACTGGCTCACTTTATGGCGCATTTCCATTACAGTTTAGGAACTGGGGTAGTATCTATAGTAACGCAGTGTAGGCGGAGCCGTGACGTCATCTTCAATGAGAACCCCAGAAAAACAACACAGCCGTTAGCTGTTAGCACTCAGAGCTCACAGCTCCTCATATATGTTCAGAAACTAGACAAAAGTTAAACAAGTACAAACCACAGACTGTCTGTGTCATGGTGAATACAGTCGCTGCTTTATTTATGTCTGTATAGGCCGTTGTTGTGAGTGTGGACGGTCGGAGCATATACTGCGTTAGCTTAGCCAATCTCCATTTAGAAAACACGCATTTTAAAAGGTTTTTCCCCTGCCGTCTGTCTGCAGACTTGTCAAAGCATTAATTCATGGTTTTTACTAACCGGTATCAGTATGTTGTTACTTCGGCATCATTTTGAAACGTGTATTACAATTAAATCACGGTCAAATATGTCCATCTTGTTGTAGTTGTAGCCCCCTTGCCAGCGATTCTCTCTCTAGTTTAGCATACTCAGCCCGACTCAGCCTCGTTGTCTCTGGCCCTAGACCCACGATTTTATGAGGCCAGAAAAACTGTGAATTAGGACCCGCCGGCCGGTACTAGGCCAAGTGGAAACGCAACCAAAAACGGGCCGCTGACGTCACAGCCCTCTTAAACCGTGCTCCGCGCTGTAGTGGAAACGCGCCATTTGATGCTCGCAGGAATAAACGCAGATCATCCTCTGGCTGCAGCCTTGACCGGTACTTGCTTTTGATCAAAGTCAATGCGGAAAACCCCCACTCACACAGATAGGTGGAGGTGAAGGGAATGAGCACTTTTACAGCCTTTTTGGCGAGGTGGGGGAACTCGGTCTCCACAGACAGCCAAAAGTGGGCAAGTGTCACTTTATTAATCTTTTTCTCGTTCTTTTTTTCCTCACGCTGCGCCTCCCCTGAAGCTCTCTGGCGCCCCCCAGGGGAGGCGCGCCTCACACTTTGAAAACCGCTGCACGAGAGGATTAAATGCTAAAATAACAGCATTACCTTACAACTTGTGCAAATGGTAGAACCATTTCCTATAGGCTTTCATATCTTCAAGAGAAGAAAAGTGTGTAATGATAACTGAAGTGTTTTATTAAGAAAGGGAGTTCCGCAGCTGATGCTCATGTTAAAACAAGAATGTTAAAGGGCCCATGTCATGGCCATTTCCACTGATCATAATTACATTGTTGAGGTATACTAAAATGGATTTATACTGTGCAATTTTCCAAACTCACATTGGTTTCGCATACAGCATCTCTGTAAAGTATGTGTATTCAGCAGTATT